TAAATGCATTTGCAATGCAAGCAACATAAGCTGCAACAACATTATCGGCATCAGCAATAATGACAACAACATTGTCGGGGGAGCATACAGAAGTAGTTCGAGTTGTATCTGTGCTCAAGTCTTATGGGAATGTCACTTTCGCAATGTCACCCGACAATCTGCTGATATCATCGTATGCACTGAGTTCATGCCAGTTGCAAGTCTCATCTTCCTTAAGTTATTTTCCGCTGCACTGGAGTTGATAGAATTTCTTTATACCTAATATTGCAAGAGATTCAACAAAGTGACATTTTGAAGGTAAACCAGGGAAATGCACTCGAGCAAAACTTTCACAACAAAATGCCACGAAAATTTTCGTATTTCGTCTCAAAGCTTTTTTAATCAATCAAATTATAAATTGATTTAAGAAATAAGACTGAAATACAATGTCAGAGATTGCGAAATTATATTAAAAAATTTTTATATCATATTTTGAGGCAGAATTATTTATGTATGTATTTTTTTTTATTTAAGTGATTCTTTAAATATGAATACTTTTTAATAATTAACTGTTTTTGTATATGAATTCTTAAAAAAATATGAGTAATTATTATAAATAATGTGATTTAGCTGTTGCAGACCCGGTATGTTCGCCAGATTTGGGGTGGCATTCTTGGCCACACTAGCAGCAATAAGATTGACATTTTCCAGAAAATCGGAAAAGATAGGTTGCAATGGCAGATATCCCACCACTGCCTACAATTAGCGATAATTCTCTGTTTAGCTACTACATTCTTCCCAAAAAGCCTAAGAAATGAGATATCTAGCAAATTCCGTTGAATTTAGTTAATTTTACGAATTTATTGTCCTTACCGATGAACAATCTGAAAAAACTTTTAAAAAAGTAAAAGTTCTCTAAAAGTTTGTTTTGTCTGGAATTTGACTTACAGAAATAAAACAGTCACATAGAACAGTCTTTTTCCCGTAGAGTTCTTCTTCACCAATGAGTATTAAAAATAATACTCTGTTTCTTTGCAGGGGCATGATATCCATAGTTTATAACTACGAGCTCAAAAGCGCTTTAGCAGATTCTTCTATCGGTTATTAACATTAATGTTACTAGTTGATGCTATACTCGCCTAAACGATTGAGATATCTAGTAAATTCCGTTGAATATAGGTAATTTAACCAATTGTTTGTCCTAACCGTTTAACAATCTAACGAAACTTTCAAAAAGTTGTTCTATAAAAATTTATTTCTTCTGAAATTTGACTTCGAGGAATATGACAATCATAGAGAAAATGCTTAAATGTTTCTTCTTCCCGTTAGGTTCACCAATGAGTATAAAAAGTATATTCATAGTTTATAAGTACAACCTCAAATGCACTTCAGGAGATTCTTTTAAGGATAATAAGTATTACTGTTACTTACGGATGTGTTACATATAGCAAAGCCCCAAATACTACCATAAAGCAATTACAGATAGCACAAAACCTGGCTTTAAGAAGACTAAGTTTCCTTGGTATATTAGATCAACAGACATACATAGAGATCTTAGGATTGACTCAGTGAAAAAAATATATCAGAGACAGAGCTCTAAAATTATTCACTAAAGTTGATACGCTACTTAACCCCGCCCTAACAATCCTCAAGTCCACTTCTAGACTCTCAGGAAGATATGAGGTCCGTCATCAACTAAAAGACAAATAAATTATATGATTTTTTTAAGCCTAGTTAAAGTCTAGTTTGGGGTAGAGTTAAGCCCCCCAACCATTATAGAGTAAAAGTGCGTAATAGCACTAACTCAAGAAGAAGAAAAATAGATTAAAGTTTAGAATTATTTAAATAGATCAAATTACGCAAAGATGCTCCATGTTTAGGTATCAATTCGGATGAGGAATAGTCATCAGATACAAATATATCCGACGCAAGCTGGACATATCAAAGGCTGATGACCCTCCACAAACGACTTCAACCTGAATTGATGACAAGCAATGTTAGGTTAATTGTTGTTGGGATTATATGGAAATTATCTAATACTAACCATTTCACCTTGGTGCTATGACTAATTCGAGGTCGATCCTCTACTGCACACAACTCGACCGTTTTAAAGAAAAAGTCAATGAAAAGTTACCAGAATTGGCTAACAAAGAAGAAATTGTATTCTATCATAACAATACGAGAACAAACATATTTTTAAAGTATGATTGGCAAGTTTTAATACAACCCCACCATATATTTCAAAATTATCACCTTATAACTAGCATTTACTTCGAAAACCTCTCGAATCGAAATTGACCGGCCGAAAGGCCACTAAGAATCACTTTGAACTAATTTATGAAACTGTCAAAAAAATGACAAGAGGTCATAATTTTCATAATAATAATTGATTTTCAATAAAAAGGTTTTGGGTCATAAATGTATATAAATTCTACATTTTCACTTTCATTAATACTCCCAATTGGGAGCATGCTTCCATACAAAATATAAAATTAAAAAAAAAAAAAATTTAATATTTCAACATAAACAATTTTCAGTCATTGTTTTAATTTTATTTGACTTTAGTTGAAGTCACAGGTAACTGGACATCCGGCATGAAATAAAAGGACCTTCTGGGCATCACATCACAGACAAAATATTGCGATCCCAGCAATTATGGTCTCGAATTCGTTCAAAATAATTCAATTAAAGTCAGCAAAGCGGAACTAAAGGACACTGGACAAGTCCAGTTACAAAACATTTTCACAGCAATATTTTTCCAATTATACTTTTTCTGATATGTGTTCATGCCTAACCTGGTTCGGTAAATAATTTCCATTTTATTTTAAAAGTTAGAATTAATGGTGGAATATGTACAAGTTGCATATCCTCGAATGAAATATATTGAATATTAAAATATATTTAATTAAATTGGAGCTATGAAGTTAATTAATTTTATTATTGTTAAGTTTCGTCTTGTCGATAATGGCTCGTCTTTATGATGAAAAAAAATCTATTTA